CCTTTGCCAAAAACTAATAAACACTTCTCCCAATCATTACTAATTGAATGTTTTTTAGATAATTCAAATCGGATGCTTCGTTCTCTCAAAAACTCGATTTCTATTTTCTGCACTCTTTGCTCCGTGTCTCCGAAACGGCTGGACCTGCCTTTGCCAAAAACTAATCAGCTTATCTCCCTATCAATAGAAATCGAATGTTTTTTAAACCATTCAAATCGGTTGATCCGTGCGCCCGAAAACTGACTGGAAATTTGTATCCGTACATACATACACACACACACATCGATTTTTTTTTAGGTATGCCAAAATGTTCAGAAACCTTCAAAACGTCGAGAAATGTAAAAATTTTCAATTTCGATTTTTGAACGATTACAATAACTTACCCTACGGGAAGTTAATTAAAAATAATATTCAGTCAGTCCCAATAATGAATATAATTTTAGTGTGATTTATTCATTTATTATTTAATTATGATGTAAGGTCATATAAAAGATGTCTCATAATACAAATCGGATGACATCATTTCCCATACAGAATCACTAGGCCAGAATAACCTCCACTTGACAACACTACCTCCCTCGCAATAACGCGCTTGCATATACCGCTCCTACTTGCGATTTCAAGTATTTAAAAATGTCGTAACCACCTCGATTCTTGATCTCGGCCTACGCTAATAACAATAATAATAACGAACTCAATTAAAAATATCACAGTCTCATTTTATTACCAATTAATACTGATTAACGATTTTATAGTTCGACCTATATTTACCGAGTACTGTTTGAAATTCTCCAGATGAACCAGAAATAGACGCCAGAAATTAGTCGGTCTGCGGTTCACGCCCACATTCCGACGGGCCTAAAAACAAAAACATTCGAATATATTTGGATGTGTGTAATCAGATTTTGCGAGGCGAAAAGATTTGCGAATCAAAAAGATCAAACAAACACTGGCCAGCGTCCAAAATCTTCAGACACGTATTTATATTTTGGTCATGTTCACGTGACGAACAGACTGGATATATTTTTCATTGTTTTCAAAATAATATGTTAGGAATTTCTAATAATAATAAATGAAACATGTATAAAAGATAAATGTATACCATGCTAATCTTAATAAACTTTTAAAATAAAAAGCTATCAGGTATGAGAAAAGTAATATTATATATAAAAATGAATCGCAAAATGTGTTGGTAAGCGCATAACTCAACAACGCCTGGACCAATTTGGCCAATTATTTTTTTAAAATGTTCGTTGAAGTCCAAGGATGGTTCTTACGACGAGAAAAAATCGAATAATTGACGGGAAAACCCTAAAAACGGCCCTTTTCTTTTTTACATACAAACGTTTTCTAACTAAAACGTAGTATTAATTTGAGCTTTATTGCTATTTTATAAAGTTCATATTAAATTGCAAGCATTCACTGTATACTTCTCCTAAACGATTATTTGGATTTTGATAAATCTTTCTGGAGTCTATTAAGGAAATTCTCTAGGATGTATGTGATTATAAAGTACTGGGATGTATGTGCAATATTGTAGAAATAATAGCATATTTACTAATCTTTTCACAATATTTTCGCATTTTTAAAAAGTAAAGTATGAATACATACAATTCGGCCCTCACGATATCGATTAGGAGAAGTTTAAGATGCAATTTTAGATATAATAAATAATAAAAAATTAAATTAATTTTATCCAACATGAAGTACCATTGTTATGTTATGGTTATGGTTATGTTATACCGTTTAAAAGACTTCAATTTCCAATATAGTGTGGGAATTGAGACTCATCATTTTGTTTAAAGCAGTTCTACATTTAACATCGCTCTTATTATAAATGTTTATGCATTTTGGCGCGAAGAGTAATTTAAAAAACAAAAATTATTGTTTTTACGAAAACGGTAAATATTAGTATATTATATTAAAAAAATGTAGACATGGGTACAGGACAACGTCTGTCGGGTCATCTAGTTTTAAAATAAAAGAACTATCAAATATGAGAAGAGTACTGAGTACCATAATATATAAGTATTATGATTTTAATAATGTCAATATAGTAATAAATATCGAGCCAAACTGATCTTATACTATATTTAACAACTTAATAACGAAGCGATGCGTAAATCTATTGTACAAAATCTAATCCTAGGATCTAGAACACAAATAAATGGCTTCACCTTGATTTTTATGAACCATTACGTTTGCACTGACCCAGATCATGTTTTACAAACCTTGCGACCTTACTGTCTCACAAAAGATGGTTTATGTCAAAATTATTGCGAAGTTCTTAGAAAAATTCGGTCAATCGAGATTCGTTAAAAGCTTAAAAATTGAAGAGTTAGAGGTACTTTTTATTGAGGCGCCGCTCTCAATACTAGTTCTGAAACAGATTGTACGTTTTCAAAAATGCATAAATCGATTTTGATGAAACTTGACAAACATTGTTACTAGACTTTACTAAATATTTGACAAAAATTTAAAGTTGGAACATTCAATAGTTTTTGAGATATACGAGGTTGATGGGTGGCTGGCTCCGCTCTCAATACTGGTATTGAAACAGATTGTACATTTTCAAAAATGCATAATTCGATTTTGATGAAACTTGACATACATTGTTACTACACTTTACTAAATATTTGATAAAAATTTAAAGTTGAAACATCCAATAGTTTTTGAGATATGCGAGGTTGATGGGTGGCTGGCTCCGCTCTCAATACTAATATTGAAACAGATTGTACGTTTTCAAAAATGCATAATTCGATTTTGATGAAACTTGACATATATTGTTACTACACTTTACTAAATATTTGACAAAAATTTAAAGTAGGAACATTCGATAGTTGCATGGAACTATTTTATGTTTGGAAATTGAATTATATCTGTGTACAAATTACAAATATTTAAAAAAAAAATATGGACAGTTTTCCTATTTTTTACTAATTTTATTACATACTTTTTTATATACACACTTTGGAAATATTATCAAAATATGTATTTACCATTCTACATGTTATCTCCAGTCGACTAGGAATTAAAAAAAACTTTTCCGGTTCCACTTAAAAACATGCACAGTGTTTAACAACTTAGTTTTATTTCTGATCTTCATTTGTAATAAATGTTTGCTGCAGCTTGCATTGAAATAGATAAAACAAAAAAGTTCTATTAATATAAATAATTTAAAAATAGCATTATAGCATTTCTGCAATTCATACAAATTAGTACAGAGAATCGTTAACTCTTTACTACCAACAGGATAATTGATTTAAAATTATTAATTGGTATTATGATTTTTTTTATTTCTCAAGATTTAATTACAATGTGTTTTTAAAATACAAACAAAAACATTTAGTAATTATGAATGACAATATGTAATGTTGTGACCAAAATAGAGTTTACCCATTGATATACCTTATGGTATTGATTGAAAAGATGTTTGTAATTTAGGTGACTTTAAGAAGCTTAACTAATATTCGAAATGCATAATTATAATAGTAAATTACAAATAAACTATCAATAAAAAAGAAAATAAAACTAGTGGGGTGTATGGCATCGTGCCTTAAGGCAAATTGCTGGAACTTCGAGTACCGTAACGAAATATTCGAGGAATACAGAATGTTTTCAAATAGATTATTATAAATATTGTAACATTGTCCAATATTTATAAGAATTATATAAACTGAATTGCAAAGTTGAAATTATTTGTTTAAAGTATATTAGAACTATAGTCAGAATTAAAAATAAAATCTGAATTTCTTTGAAAGAAATTAAAAAATTAAAGAATTAAAAAAAAAATTCTTTGAAAAAAAAAATTGAAAAAAAAAGTTGAGACAAAATTATTTTTTTTCCAAACTCAATTATTTTATTAAGACAAGCAGAAAGTTCTTTGAATCATTTAAATCGGACGCTTAGTTTTCTCAAAAACTGCCATTTTTTACATATTTAGCTCCGTATCTTCGAAATGGCTGGGCCTCCCTTTGCCAAAAACTAATAAACCCTTCTCCCAATAATTACTAATTGAATGTTTTTTAGATCATTCAAATCGGATACTCCGTTCTCTCAAAAATTCGATTTCTATTTTCCGCACTCTTTGCTCCGTATCTCCGAAACGGCTGGACCTGCCTTTGCCAAAAACTAATCAGCTCTTTTCCCTATCAATAGGAATCGAATGTTTTTTGAACCATTCAAATCGGTTGATCCGTGCGCCCTAAAACGTGACTGGAAATTTGTATCCTCACATACATACACACACACATACACACACACACACACATCCATTTTTTCTGAGGTATGCCAAAATGTTCAGAAACCTTCAAAACGTCGAGAAATGTAAAAATTTTCAATTCCGATTTTCGGCCCATTACAATAACTTACCCTACGGGAAGTTAATAAATAAATAAAGATTAAAAAAATATAAAAATACGAAGTACGGTATTATGATGAAGAATAAAAAACATTTGAATTATTTAAAGAAATACACACGCCAAAATTGTAGCATCAAAATATCATTCATAATAATGGTTGATAAATAAAACCGAGATAAAAGTACATATATGCAAATAATTTTAAATTATTTTTTATAAATTAAATACAAAAAAATTCTGAAATATTTTTTACATTGCTTTTTAATGTACAATGTGTCTGGTCTTCAAAAATCCTATACAATTTTATAAATAGCTTCTAGTAACATCAACAAAAACAGAAGCATTCAGTATATCCGTAAATCCGATGTTAAGAATAAGAAGGGTGCCTTGTTTTGACACGTGTGCAACGACCTGCGATGGTTAATGCACCACTAGCACGTGCACATCTGCTCGAAAGATGCTGAAGAACACCTTTAACAGAAATTAGGGACCACTTGATAATCATAGGAAAAAAAATAGTTGAACCTGGATTAAAGTAAAGAGGATAAAATATGAAACATCTTAGATTATTAGCAGATTAATTTATAATATATTATTATTATACAATTGTAGTTTTATTCATTTTTTTTTCTTTCGCAGGTATTGCTATAGATTGGTCAGATCACGCGTTATGGTGGCCAGCAAAAAATCGGTGGTTGACCAGGACAAGATCTACTTTGGACCAATGTGGAGTTCAAGGAGATTCGTTACTTCATTTGACACCTATGCACAAAAATTTAAGAGTACAGGTATACTATTCAGTTTTAAATTTTCAATTTTGTAATATATAATATTATCTAATACTAGGAATATAGTGAATGTAAATAAAATTAATGGAATATTCTAAATTAATTATATTCTCTATTTTTTAAGATTAAATTTTAATTTAATTTAAAAATTAATTAATAAAATTTCCAGGCAAATTAATTTAATTTTTCAAATTTATTTTATTATGCGATCTGTATATATTATTACATTAAGCAAAGAATGCTGGCAAATATATGGTGAAATAAAGTTGATTATAAAATAGTAGATATACCCAGTGGCGTATCTACTAGGGTTTATACAAAAACCGACATTTCAGAAAACCGGTTTTCAAATTTTAATTTCACTAAAAAAAACCGTTTTTACCAAGTTTCGAATTTTATATGGAAAATAAATTTTTGCTCGAATATCCTGTAATTTATCCGCAAATTTAGTGTAATTTAGAGCAGTATTTGACTTATTTTATTTATTTTTCAATTTTATAGATAGTAAACAAAATTATTTTAATTTTAATTAGTAGAACTAAAAAATAATAGTTTATCTTGATAAGATAACTTTGAATATAATTATTTGTTATTCATGCATCATTTTCACATATAAGAATAAAAATATTTTTATGATAGTGAAAGGAAAGTTTTCGAATAAATAAAAATAATTCATTTTTAAATAAAAAACATTCATTAAATTAAAAAATGAATAAAAAATATTAGATACATTATGTTGATACATTCTTGTTAATATCAATTTTAGTTGTAAAAACAATTAAGCTAAACTCGGGTATTGTCTGTTTCGAGCAATTTTAATTAATCAATTTTAAACATTCCAATTGTTTTTTGTTTAATAAAATATGATTTAAAAAAACTTAGAACGTCTATCGAATTGCTACTTAAACGTGTCCTTTGTTTACTCACAAAATAAATTTTCCTGAAATAGAAAATACTCTCATACTTGCGACCAAACCAGGCTCAATTGTTTTTAAAGTCTGATACAATAATTCTAAGTTTTTTGTTCTTTAATTTGTGGCTTCTAGGGTTTAAAACTCTTTTGTTTTGAAGTTTTAGTAGAGGAAGTTACTTCTTTAAGAAGAAGTCATACTGATTTAAATTATATACACTGGTATAAAAATCGAAATTAATACAAGATGTCAAATGCTATTGAACCGATATGATTTCACGAATCAAAACGCTTTCATCTATCTTTTATATTTGGCTATATTTGTCATTTTCCATTTATACAGTGAAAACCGACTTTTTTCACTAAAAAACCGTTTTTCGGATTCCATAATTTTCGCCAAAAACCGGTTTTTGAAAACCGACAAACCCTAGTATCTACTAAAGTTATTTAAAATATTATAGCAAAAAAAAACGAGAAAACAAAAGGAAAAAGCAACAAAATATAGCAAAATGAAAGTATTATAGTTAATTATACTATATTACGTTTTGAGGTAGATCCAGGAAAAATGGTCAAATTATTTTAGTTTAAAATTTTATATCACTTGGAACAATATTGTGAAGTAAATTTTATGTATTTTTGTATTATCTAATAATAAAATAAGGGTGAATTTATTTCATTTTTATTTACCTTACCTTCGATACTTGGATTTTAGGGTAGATTTCTTTTATTTATAAGAGTGAATTTAATTTTTGATTTTTTTTTTAATTCAGTTACCAGACCTTCGATACTTGGACCTAAGAGTAGATTTCTCAGTGCAAACTTTCAGTGCAGTTGTGGCATTGTGCAGAGATCTAGATATCCGTCACCCGGAAGAACTTTCCTTCTGCAAGCCCCTAGAACCACAACATCTCAAAAAGAATTTCCAAGATCTTCCAAGGAAGAAGCATGAACAAAATGGTTAGTAAATAAAAGAAATACTGAGACTATTATTTTAGGTGAAAAGTGTTTTGATTAATGTTTGGTTTAACCAGGTACTGTTGGAAATGGTCATTTACCATTGGACACAAATACCTTCATAGCAGAAAGTCCGCGTGGTTCTAATGGTAGCCTCAATAATGGTGATTCGCGCCTGATGTGCGCTCCTGTGACGCCCCAACGAAGTGCAGTCTCTCCGCCTCCCAGACACACGCCTATCAGCTCACCTACAACTCCTGCAGTAAGTGAAAATTAAACTATGCATAAATCTTTAAATTTTATATTTATTTTTTATTTTTACAGCAATGGCCGTATTTTAATGGTGCTTTAAACGGAACGACATCTCCTACAGGAAACGAATCACTAGGCATATCTTTAGCCAGTAGTCCTGCGACACCGAGCCATGAGGCCCGATCAAAAATGTTACGACCCAAGACTTTAGTTGAACGTGCTCGTCTCAATGTGGGGTATGTAATTCAATCACTCTCTTCATCAAGTATATAATGTCTTTTTTTATTAACTTCCCGTAGGGTAAGTTATTGTAATGGGCCGAAAATCGGAATTGAAAATTTTTACATTTCTCGACGTTTTGAAGGTTTCTGAACGTTTTGGCATACCTCAGAAAAAATGGATGTGTGTGTGTGTGTGTGTGTGTGTGTGTGTGTGTGTGTGTGTGTGTATGTATGTATGGATACAAATTTCCAGTCACGTTTCAGGGCGCACGGATCAACCGATTTGAATGGTTCAAAAAACATTCGATTCCTATTGATAGGGAAAAGAGCTGATTAGTTTTTGGCAAAGGCAGGTCCAGCCGTTTCGGAGATACGGAGCAAAGAGTGCAGAAAATAGAAATCGAATTTTTGAGAGAACGGAGTATCCGATTTGAATGATGTAAAAAACATTCAATTAGTAATGATTGGGAGAAGTGTTTATTAGTTTTTGGAAAAGCCAGGCCCAGCCATTTCGAAGATACGGAGCTAAATATGTAAAAAATGGCAGTTTTTGATAGAAGTAAGCGTCCGATTTGAATGATTCAAAAAACTTTCTGCTTGTCTTAACAAAATAATTGATTTTGGAAAAAAAAAATTTTGTCCCATTTTTTTTTTTTTTTTTTTTTTAGTTTTTTGTTGAAACAAATAATTTCAACTTTGCAATTCAGTTTATATAATTCTTATAAATATTAGACAATGTTACAATATTTATAATAATCTATTTGAAAACATTCAGTATTCCTCGAACATTCCGTTACGGTACGGGAAGTTCCAGCAATTTGCCTTAAGGCACGATGCCACCCACCCCACTAGTTATTTATTTATTTGATATAATTCATACATACTGTATCTCAGTCAGACAATTGTTAAATTTTGTTTAAATTAAAACAAAAATAAAATCTATATTTTATGTAACAGACTTACATTAAGACATCTATATATTTTCACTTATTACTATTATACACACATATATACACAGAACGCTTGCGTACATACATACGTACTTATACTTAATTGTAATTAATATTTTTTACAAAACAGAAGTGATATAGTATTTAAAATAAGGAATTTTATCTCATTTATTTCATTTATCTCTTATATAATTTTTCAATTTAATTTTGAAATTGTTTAGGTCCGTCATTGTCTTCAGTTCGTCCGGTAGTTTATTGTAAAGGCTGCTTGCACTTCTCAGAGGACTTGCAAGTCCTTTACTCGATTTAGCATGTTTCATGTGCAAGTTTCGGTTTTGCCTCGTTTGATGGTCGTGTATATCCTGGTTTGTCTCTATTGTGGTGCAAGTTTTGATTTTGTTATTTTTTATTTTGAATATTATTATACATTTTTCTATTTCTATTGTTTTGTGTAGTGGTATGTTCTTAGTCTTTTGTAGAAGTTCTTTTGTCGGGGTGAGGTAGGGATAATTGTAAGTTGATTTTATTGCTTTATTTATCATTCTTTGTATATAGCAAATAGCATGTAGTGTCTTTATATTTTTATTTGTTGTTTGTCTCCAAATCGTGATGCCGTACGTCATAATCGGCATTGTATGAGATTTTAATATTAGTTCCTTGTTCTTAATTCCAAAATGTCGTATTCTTCTTATGGCTCCAGAAAGTGCTGCAATTTTGTGTTTGATTTTGTCAATTTGGTCACTCCATTTTAGTTTCTGGTTTATAATCATACCCAAATATTTATTTTTTTTTATTTTTTTTAATTTTGTTACGCTGAAAAATATATAATTATTTTTATCTGTATTTATAGTGAGTTTATTTTCTGTCAGCCAAGTTGTATATTTCTTTAAGTCATCATTGCTTTTTTTTCTAGTTTCTCCAAATCTTTATCAGCGTATATAATCATGGTGTCATCTGCGTACACTATGCATCTACCTTCTAAATTTTTGTCCTTTAGGTTGCTAATATATATTAAGTATAATAGTGGACTTAGGACTGTTCCCTGAGGTACTCCGTGTTTGACCAATTTTTTATAGCTGAAGCAATTTCCTATTTTGGTCCTTACTTTCCTTTTATAATATTTCATCATCGTTTCTAATTCCAGGTGGTTGGACTCATCATTGTCTATCATGGAACAAGGTGTTCGTGAAAATGAAACTCTCTGTTTGCGATTCAAATTCTGCACTATTTTCGACTTGAATCCAAAATACGATAGTGTACGAATTAATCAATTATATGAGCAAGCACGATGGCAATTACTTAATGAAGAAGTCGATTGCACTGAAGAGGAAATGTTGATGTTTGCTGCATTACAAGTATGTAAAGAATTATTTTTATTAGTTGCATTCAATTAATGAATGACTATTTTAATAGGTTCAAGTTGGAATGCAAGCACATTTACCACAACCAAATTTAGATACCACTGATGCAACATCACCTGGGGAAGATGATATAGACGCAGCATTATCTGAATTACAAATTACGCTGGAAGGTCCTACTGGCATTTCAAATAGCTCCGACATCACACAAGTTCCTGAACTTTCAGACTATTTAAGATTTTTGAAGTAAGTTATAAATAATATAGCCCAAATTAGGGAATGCAATACCGGTATACCGAATTACCAGTAAACCGCCTGATTTTTCGGCGGTATTTTTACCGGTATTTATTCCAAAAATACCGGTATTATCGGTATTTTTACATAAGCGCTATTTGATACATAATACCCTAAAGTTTAAATTTCTCGGAAAAAATTTATCTTTAAATTCCATAATCGCAAAAACAGCTATATCTTCACGTGCTTTTATAAGATAAACAAATGTCAAATATTATCTCAACTCGTCATTAAACTGAATATTTATTGCTTTCCAACGGGCTTCATATCGTGTTACAATAAATAGAATTGGACTGATTGACTGACTGTTTGTTTTATCTTTTGTAAAAATGTAACGGTTTTTTAAGTGATATTTGCGCCAAAATATTTTATATCATACAGATTTGCGTAATCTTTATTTTTTTTCTAACTTTATATAATATAATTATGATAATTACTAAATATTTTTGCTTCTTATTACAATTATAAAATATTATTTTTCGAAAGCGTTTCGAAGTTTGAAAATGCTATAGAAGCATCACATTGTGTTAAATAACAATACTCAACAATTATAGTAACTTATTATTTATCTCGACAAAGAATCCGATCTTAAATTAGTGTTAACTATATTTTAATTATATTTTTCAAATATTGAAGTTTATGCTAATTTAACACATCGGATACAGACAATACAGTTTATTATAATAATGTAATATGATCTTTTATGAGTTTTTGGTCTTTCTTACTTATAAGTTTGTTTTTGGTGTAAAGTACTGAATATACTCGACAGTGATAATGAATTAATTAAATTGCATATACTTTTGTTAAATTATTATTTAAAAAATAAACTTATTGTTTTATTTTATTGTTTAGTTGAATATAATTGTAGTTGTATATACATTTTTTTATATTTGTACTAATAACTTTCAATTTTGTTTACGTTTGTTTAAGATAATTGCATTCCCTAGCCCAAATGAATAAGTTTGCTTAAACATTTTTTATTTTTTAGGCCCAAACGATTTTTACCAAGTTCATATAAAAGATATTGGTTTACATGTCGCGATTTACATCTATTTTTGTATAAAACCAAAGGAGATTCAAATCCTGCTTTACACATTAACCTACGAGGTTGTGAAGCGTTACCTGATGTTAACATCTCAGCTGGAAAATTCGGAATTAAACTATCGGTACCAAATAAAGAAGATGGCATGACTGAAATGTGGATAAGATGTGATAACGTTAGTATTTTAAAGCTAATAAATATTTCTGGGATTGTACATTAATTATATCAATATTAATCATATTTTTTCTTTATATAGGAAACTCAATATGCGAAATGGATGGCTGCTTGCAGATTGGGATCCAAAGGAAGATCTCTAGCAGACAGTAGTTATGAAACTGAAGTGGTTGGTATTGAAGCATTTTTGGCAATGCAAAGACCTGCTCCTCAGCCAGTCTTGAATCCACAAGATTTAGATATTTCTGTCGAAGACTATGTTGCACCGAGGTTTACAAAGAAATTGAAGGGAAAGGTAGCTGACATCAAAAGATATATCAATTAACTTCTAAGTCACAATTACATTTGTTTTTTTTTCTTTGTAATAGCTTACACAAAGGATATTAGAAGCACATGCTAATGTTACTGATCTAAATCTTATCGAAGCTAAATTGCGCTATATAAAAGCTTGGCAAAGTTTACCTGATCATGGAGTAACATTATTTGTTGTTAAATTTATGGGACATAAGAAAGAAGAGTTATTAGGTGTTGCATCCAATAGGCTAATGAAAATGGATATCAATACTGGTTATTTAATTAAAACTTGGAGATATAATACAATGAAGGTTAGTAATATGGTATATATCTTCTGTATTAGTTAATAACCTAATATTTACCTTTGCTTAGGCATGGAATGTAAATTGGGAAGTTAAACATATGATGGTTCAATTCGAAGAAGAAAACATAATATTTTCATGCTTATCAGCAGATTGCAAGGTATGCATAAAATTGCATTATAGAATCATATGAATAAAATTTTATTGTAATATATATTTAAATAAATTAATATTTCAGGTGATCCATGAGTTTATCGGAGGTTACATATTTATGTCAATGAGATCTAAAGATGCAAATCAACAGTTGAATCAAGAAATGTTCCATAAGTTAACGGGTGGCTGGTCATAGTTACCTATACAAACAAATTATTTATTCAGTCAATTAACTTATATTATGATTATAAAGTAAAAAGTTTTATAATTCATAAACTTCAACAATTACCTTAATGCCTTAAATCAGATAATTGTGAATAATCAAGGCCTTATATTTTATGGAGTTGTATTAAGTTTTTATCCTAAAGCAAATATTAATGGCTTATATATTAATACTTATTTATAAAGTTTAATGTTGTTAACATATAAAACATATGTGTTATATATTTATGTTGTTATTTGTAATTATAATTAAAAAACTAGCAATATAAACTTTTATCAAATGCTTAGAAATTACATTGTAATCAAACTTGTACACCAAGGGTGTAATTAATATATATATATATATATATATATATATATATAAGATAATAATTTGTAAATAGTTTTATAAAGTGATCTTGTTAATTTATTTAGGAAATGATTAAATATTAATATTTTAATGATGTCAATTACCAAAAACATGTTTTTGATTATTTTCCTTTCCATACTTTATTTACATAGCTATATACTATTACTTATTTCATAATAATCGTTCTTGGAAATTTTACCAAATTTTAACTTTTTTTAAAATTGTTTTTAAATATACATCACGCACCTAAAATGTGCTTTATGTACAGTATTAATCATGTGTATGACTTATTCATATTAAATTATATAATGGACTAAAAATTTTAATTTTATTATATCAATCTCTTAACTTTATATGAAATTGTATATAATTCATGTAAATTTAATTTGAATTGATAGCAAATTAAAACATTTAAATAATGTTCGTTAAAAGTGTTTCCTGATTGTCCTCAATATAAGTCTTCAAACGAGAACATTTCTATGCATCTGGCAACACATGTTCTTCATCGACTCATCAGCGTCCTAGGTACGTTTGTTCTGTCGGCAGACAATTAAAGCAGTTTTATCGAATTACTTATGTTTTTAAGCGCTATTTAATATAAATTGTGCTGATTTCCATTTTTAGTTGTTGTTTTGATCAGTTGTGTCTTCGTAAGTATTTTTATTTATCGCGACCGGTTGTACTTAGTGAGACTTTCCCGCCGTCCATCGTAATTATTCTAAACGCTTATTTTTTCTTACAATTTAGTGTGAACTAAAATGGCAAAGAAAAAGGGAAAGAAGAATGACAACGAATCAGAAGAAGAATATACAGTCGAAAAAGTAGTGGATAAAAGGATTCGTAATGGCAAAGTAATTTTTTCACCTGTTCATATACATATACCCCTGTATTCCTATTACTAAGTTATTTTAATTTGAACAATGTCTTGTTTTTATTCAGGTGGAGTATTATCTCAAATGGATCGGCTATGATGAATCAGATAACACTTGGGAGCCTGTTGAGCATCTAGAATGCCCCGAGTTAATTCAAGCTTATGAAAATGCTCAAAAAGCTAAGAAGGACTCCAAAGATGATGATGTCCCTGAAGAAACCGACAAAGAGCAATCAGTAAGTTTTCATTAAAATACCATACAAATCCTAAGAATGTGTCTACTACGTGTTTTTTTCTTCAGACCACTGGTAGAAAGCGTAAATCTGTGGCGGCAGAAGATAAAAAATCAAAAGACAATGAAAAGGAGAAAAAAGAACCTGCAGAGAAAAAGAAAAAGGGTGCCGACAGTGAAAATTTAGTTGGATTCTCAAGAAATTTAGAACCAGACAAGATATTAGGTAATAATAACAAAATTTACAATATTTCGCCATAATTATTGCACAATGATTGTTGTAATCTAATGTATTACATATTCATTTTTATCTTCTAGGGGCTTCTGACAGTTCTGGTCAGTTGATGTTCCTCATTAAGTGGAAAGGAAGCGAAGAGGCTGATTTAGTCCCAGCAAAACAAGCCAATGTGAGATGTCCCCAACATGTAATTGCATTTTATGAAGAGAGACTAACATGGCATTCACCAGATGATGGGAATAATTAGGGCGCTAATAGCATTTTCTATTTTAATAATTGAGTAATTTCATAAAAGAAAAATTACTGAATTCATTTACTTGTAATTATCGTTAAGGATTTATTTTGTTATTGTCTTTTAGGTTACATCTTTTAATTTTAATGGACCTGTATTTAGTAAATTTCTATTTTAAAAAGTGATCTTGAGTTTTATATTATGCTATTGTCTTTTTATATACAAATGAAGTGAGCTAATGTAATTCTTGAAATCCTATACATATTCTACTCATTTTAAATATAAAAGTATCGTATCATTCAATATGTTTTTCTGGAATAATAAAGTAATACAAATTTATTTCTTGTTTTAAAAATTTGCTCTTAATCTGCTTACACATTTAATTCATTAATGAGTTGTGGAGGAATTACAATACAGTCAAAGTTGTTTATTATTAACCTATTTCATAATTACTAAATATTATTACATTCTCCAGATTTCCTAATGTGAGAATGAACTTACATAAATAAATAAATATAATAGATAAAATTATTTGCTTGTAGCAATGTTTTCAAAACATAGCTCGATTAACTAGCAATGCCATGAACTTGGCATCATTTGGAGCTGAATTTGTAATCATGCACATCATGCATAAACGTCAGTTTGGTGATGTGTAACTAGAATTTTATTTTTGTATTAATATTTAATTTAATAATTTGACATGAAAATTTATCGTTCAGCTCTCTGATTTCAAAGGATTCTAAGCAAGACTACTTGTTAAAACGGTATAAAGGCGACTCTTGAAAAACGTAAGTATATTGAAGTCATCGTATATAGCTCACTTATTATATATCTACACGTATTTATATATATTTATGGCATGTGCTAGAAACTACAAACGTTTGTTAAACCATACATTGATTCATGAGTTAAAAAGTGCATTCTTTGAAGAGAAAATAACAGATTTTGAGAAAAGCTGTTGTAGGTTATGATACAAGTTGCAATCCGTGAACGGTCTTTATATATATTTTTTAAAATAATTGAATTGGACAAATAAATATTAACCTATTTAAATAATTCTTTTGTGTACGTCAATTAATTAATTAAAAGTAATATATTTGTCTTTATTTTTATTTTGAATATATTTCTACGTTTTTATGTTGGTATTAACATTGTTTGACAAAATAAATCATGGCTGCTTCAAGAATTTTCTTGAACATATTCATTGTATGATAACCTAGCATTTTTGTTATTTACCGCATTTGTCACGTTCTGTTCATTAAAGATTTGCTCATTCTATTGAAGCAAAATATAAATTCAAAAGTGAACTTCTTATCGTATTGTTCATATGTTGATATATAATTTTTGTCAACCACGTGTATAGTACGGACTAGTCCACGATGTCTATTCCTGATAAAGTTTTAATGCGAAAAATTAAAAAACGTGAGAAGAAAAAATTAGATCTAATCAAATTAAAAGAAGCTGCTTCCAGTGTTCAAAATAAAGAGGAAAACGATGAAGTCAAATTAATTACTAAAGAAGATATTGTTAATAATGATAAGGTTACAAAAAAGAACAAGAAGAAAAAGAAAAAGGAGAAGGTAACTAATAAAAGTGAAAACACTGACAGCGACCAAGAAGATTGTGCTGAGACCATGAATGTTGAGGATGAAATTGACGATGAAGTGGAATCTGTTGCTCCTACCAACCTTCCTGGATCCAGCATAGGCCTCGGTGTTGTAAGTGACAAAAGATTTTCAATTCTTGAAGGTAAAGTTTGTGAAGCTACTTTGAAAGGAATAGCTGATATGGGCTTCACAGAAATGACTGAAATTCAAGCAAAATCAATTCCACCTCTTCTCGAAGGCCGTGATTTAGTTGGTGCTGCAAAAACTGGTTCAGGTAAAACATTAGCTTTCCTAATACCAGCTATAGAACTAATTTATAAATTACAATTCATGCCCCGAAATGGGACTGGTTGTATAATCATATCGCCTACAAGAGAGTTATCAATGCAGACATTCGGTGTTTTGAAAGAGTTAATGGCACATCATCATCATACCTATGGTTTGTTAATGGGAGGAGCAAGTCGACAAACAGAAGCACAAAAGTTGTCAAAAGGTATAAATATAATCGTAGCAACACCAGGTCGTTTATTGGATCATTTACAAAACACTCCAGATTTTATGTATAAAAATTTACAATGTCTAATCATTGATGAGGCTGATAGAATTCTGGATATAGGTTTTGAAGAAGAGTTGAAACAAATCATTAAACTATTACCAAAACGAAGGCAAACTATGTTATTCAGTGCCACACAAAGCAAAAAAACTGAAGCTATAACTGCATTGGCTTTAAAGAAAGAGCCTGTATATGTGGGGGTTGATGATGACAAAGAAATGGCAACTGTGGAAGGCCTAGAACAAGGATATGTGGTTTGCCCTTCTGAAAAACGTTTAATGGTCTTATTTACATTCCTCAAAAAGAATCGTAAGAAGAAAGTTATGGTTTTCTTCAGTTCCTGTATGTCTGTCAAGTTCCATCATGAATTATTCAACTATATTGATTTGCCTGTTATGAGCATACATGGTAAACAAAAGCAGACAAAACGAACTACAACATTTTTTCAGTTTTGTAATGCAGATTCTGGAATATTATTATGTACTGATGTCGCAGCTAGAGGTCTTGATATTCCTGCTGTGGATTGGATTGTTCAGTATGACCCTCCAGATGACCCCAAAGAATACATTCATCGAGTAGGACGTACAGCACGCGGTCAAGGAGGCAGTGGACACGCCCTATTAATTTTAAGGCCAGAGGAATTGGGATTTCTCCGCTATTTAAAACAATCTAAGGTTCCATTGAACGAATTTGAATTTTCATGGAGCAAAATTGCAGATATTCAATTGCAGTTGGAAAAATTAATAAGCAAAAATTATTTTCTTCACACATCGGCCAAGGAAGCCTACAAATCATACATCAGGGCTTATGACTCACATCATCTCAAGACAATATTTGATGTCAGTACACTGGATTTGAAGCAAGTAGGACTTTCATTTGGATTTACAGTGCCCCCCGCGGTTGATTTGATGGTCAGTAGTAAAAAGCAGGATAGGCCCAGGAAAAGGACCGGTGGTGGTGGCTATGGTTATTTTAAAAACATGAATAAGACAGGAAATGAAGTAAAAAGAGCAAAAATATTCCGGCAACCTAAGCCTGGTGGTGCTGGAAAAGTCCAGTATCAAAGATAATAAGTTATAAATTTACATTCTTAGAATAGGCAATAAATTATGTTGTAAAGTCTTTAGACTAATTAATGGGATTAATTTATATTATGACTTTGATGCTACATACAATGTATATTGTGAAAAATATAATACATAAATTGTTAAACATGTCTTTTAATTTATATTGTAAGATTTTTGTTGAAATATTATGAATGCTATAAAGAAAGATCTAATCATATTTTTCATGTTTATATATTTTTTTAAGGAAATGAAGAAAGTGAAGCGAGTCAGTGATATGGGGGCAGTGGGTCCACCGCCGACAGCCCCTCCATCCTATATGGCTGAGCCTCAATATGCACCTATACCGCAAAATCAAAACTTTAATGGAAGTATAAATCCTAATTATGGGTATAATCAACAAACTGCAAACCAACGTATGTAATCACACTTTGATCTGAAACCTATTTTCAATAATATTATTTGAAAATATGAATTATTTAGCATTCGTGCCATATTCCGGTCAACCAAACTATGGACAGCAGAGTCCTGCACAGTTTCATCAAACGCCGTCTAATCCAACGATGTCTTCGCAAATACCAAATCAACAAATTCCTGGTCCCCAAAATATGAATATTCCTCCACAATTCTCAATGTTTCAACAACCCTTGGTACAAGGAATGGCAATTCAGTATAGTCAACAACTGGCAAACACAGGCAAAGCGATGATGAATAGGTGGATAATTAATTAAATCTTTTTAATCATTAACTGAATGTTTTAAGTATAATGTAAAATTTCAGAGAAATTGAAAAATATGTACCAGTGTCTACACTCAAGTATTATTTTGCAGTTGATACAGCGTATGTCCTTGCAAAATTGAAATTATTGATCTTTCCCTTTATGCACAAGGTGAGAACTAATTTATATATAAATATATATATATATATATATATATATATATATACACTATATATATATATATATATATATATATATATATACACTATGAAAATATATTATTATTCAGGATTGGTCTGTGAAATATGAGCAAGAAACACCAGTGCAACCAAAGTATGACATAAACGCTCCTGATCTATATCTACCTACAATCTGCTATATAACATATTTGCTGTTGGCAAGTTTATTATTAGGTAAAATATATTTCAAATAGTTTATTTACCTAATTCTAAAAATAGTAGCTTTTTAATTACATGTTTACATTTTTATTTAGCATTACAAAACAGATTCAGTCCAGAAGTAATTGGAATTCAAGCATCAAGTGCTTTAGCTTACTCTATATTCGAGATAATAATCTACACTGCAACATTATATATAACAAATATTCAAACATCTCTAAGGACACTCGACCTACTTGCTTATTCTGGATATAAATATGTTACTATTATTTGGTGCTTGTTGGTTAGTTTAATTTTCAAAAAGACAGGCTACTATTTAATGTTGCTGTATTCCAGCTTGGCACTAGCATTTTTTATGGTAAGTGGAAAAATAACAACAAAAATAATAAGATTTTGTGTTACTTATATTGAAAGAATTAAAATTAAGCTGATTCCTTCATCAGACATGAAATTTTAGTTAGGTTTTACTTTACAGGTACGAACCTTAAAAATGTTGGTCCTTCAGGCACCTACTACCGCTACAGATTTTTCTGGTCAACAAATGGGTTATGGAGCGAGTTATAATTCACCATCCGATGCAGGTGGGACTAAGAGACGCCTCTATTTTCTGCTGTTTGTTGCCCTAACTCAACCTTTGCTGGTATGGTGGCTCAGTTTTCACTTATTGCCGTCAAGTGTTGATAATTTGTCAGAAATATGAACAATCATTTATTTCAACATAGCATATGATATTTTTGTAAGTAATCATGTTAATCTATTAATTCTCAGATATGATAATTGATGTTTAGAGTTCGGAATTAATATATTTTATATATTTTTTAAAATAGTTTTACTATTCTTTTGTAATAACCTACATATATAATATAATATTCTGATTTTTTGTATATATTTAAATTTTATTAAAATTTAATAAGTAGGAATGTTTAATCTTTTAACATAATTTAAAACAAACTTTAAAAATTCTCTAAAGTTTTACGTAGGTGGGGCGCATGGCATCATGCCTTAAGGCAAATTGCTTGAACTTCCCGTACCAAAATATATTATTTTTTTAAAAACGATTAACATTTTTGAAAAAAATTTACTTCGAAAAAATCAGATTTTTGAGAAACTATAAATTTGACAAAAAATTACTTTTTTTTTGAAACGAAATGTCAAAGCGCGTACGCGCCGCTCGCCGTCTGATGGATAAACATTGTTACGGAACCCATAGAGATGTAAACAAAATGTATACTTGTAAATATCTGGTAATTTAATGTGCAAATGTCTAATGATCATTTTTGACCGCCAGATGGCATTTATTTTTACTTTTTTCATTAGATCTCCGAAACCGCTAGACCTGCCTTATGAAAATTTGATCAGTTCTTCATCTTGTCAATACAGGTAAAACGTATTTCTAATTATTAAAATCGGACGCTCCGTTCTCTTAAAAAATGAGTTACCATTTTTGGCACTTTATGCCCCGTATCTTCGAAACGGCTAGACCTGCCTTCGCCAAAAACTAATCAGCACGTTTCCTTATCAATACGAATCGAATGTTTTTTGAATTATTCAAATCGGTTGATCGGTGTTCCCGAAATCGTCGATGAAAATTTGTATTCGCACACACACACATATAAACACACACACATACATCCATGTTTTCTAAGGTATGCCAAAAAATTCAGAAACCTCTGAAATGTGAAGCTATATAAAAATTCTCATTTTCGATTTGTTTGCGATTACTATAACTTACCCTACGGGAAGTTAAAAATTCTCCAAAATTTTATGTAGGTTTTTATTTTGCATCAGATATTCTCAGATAGATTTTCATTGTTATTGTTATTTTTTATTTATTAAAATAGTATGTTTTGAGTATTATGAGTCGAATTTGGAGAAAATGAAGGTAGATATAGATGAATTATCGTCATCTATGCGCATTTTAGATGGATGGCCACCGCCAGCTTGTCTGTCTACGTTTTCTGGTACTGTATCAAGTTCGCTTTTAACACTAGATCTTCTAGAAGCAGTTGGTGAATTAGGTTTACTTCCACGTGGTGATCTTGAAGTCTTAGATGCACTCAAACCATTTGTTGCTGTTGGATTGATAGGCGATCTCGAACCACGAGCCGATCCATTTCCATTTGGTTTGATAGCACTGGTCACACTACCATTTTTTAGTTCATTTTCTTTTCCGTTTCTACTGGTTCTGCTGGTTTTGCTGTTTTTGCTAATCTTGCTGGTTTTGCTAGCCGCGCTTTCTTTGCTGCCTTTACTGGCTTTGCTAGCTGCGCTTTCTCTGCTACCTTTACTGCCTTTGCTGCCTGCGCTTCCTTTACTGGTTCCCTCTCCATTCACATCGGACAAGCTATTGCCTATACCTTCTTTTTTCATTTCTTCAGTATCCTGCAAAAATATCATTGTACATATTAAACTTCCCGTAGGGTATGTTATAGTAATCGCAAAAAATCGAAAATGCGAAATTTTTTATATATCTTTACGTTTCAGAGGTTTCTGAACATTTTGGCATACCTTAGAAAAAATGAATGAATGCGTGCTTGTGTGCATGTGCGGATACAAATTTTTGTCAACGATTTCGCGAACACGGATCAACCGATTTGAATAATTCAAAATACATTCGAATCGTTTTGATAAGGTGCTGATTAGGTTTTGGCAAAGGCAGGTCTAGCTGTTTTGGAGATACGGGACAAAAAGTGCCCAAAATGGTATTTCAGTTTTTGAGATAACGGAGCGTCCGATTTAAATAATTCACAAAACATTTTACTTGTATTGATGTTTGTAAAGGCAATCCAGCGTCTCCGAAGATGCAACAAAAAAAGTAAAAGACTATGCGATTTGGCGGTCACAAATGAACATTTTGATATAGAGATATAATAAGTACAAATTTTGTGTACATTTATATGGATTCCGTACCAATGTTAGACGACTACGCGGCGTTTACGAGCTTTGATATTTCGACTCAAAATCAGCTATGCAGCGCGATTGCTTAAAAAAATGTCCAAAATTTTCAATAAAAATCAAAATATAAAAAATCTAAGTTTCAAAAAATTCAAAATTACTCAGAATTCTAATTTTTTCAAAGTTTTGCAAAGTTGTTTTTTAATAATTTAGTTCTCGGTACGAAAAGTTCTAGCAATTTGCATTAAGGCACCACGCCGTGCACCCAGGGCCGGATTTAGAAATTTGGCGCCCTAGGGCACTGACAAAAATGCCGCCCCATCCCTGAATTTTTATTTACTTAAAATAGTTTTTATATGTCATTTTTCTAAAACTAAAATAACTATTTGATTGCAGAAAATTTATTACGCATTACATACTATAAATAGTGGTCCTTGGCATCGTGCCTGAACGCAAATTGCTGGAACTTCCGTACAAAAAATTAAAATTAAATAAAAGAACTTTTTTCAAAGCGATCGTCCTACTTTAGCTGCGTAAAGACAAAGTAAAGAAGCGCGTAAGCGCCGCTTCGCAGAATACAAATAAATAATGTTACAGAACCCATAGAAATTTAAACAAAATTTATACCTATTATTAAAATATCTGATAATTTGATGTGCATATGTCTAATGATTATTTTTGACCGCCAAATGTTTCTCTTTGAAATTTTTTTATTGGATCACCGAAACCGCTAGACCTGCCTTCTACAAATTTGAGCAGTTCTTCATTTTGTCTATACATGTAAATTAATTTTGAATGATATTGGACGTTCCGTTTCTCAAAAACTGAATTATCAGTTTTGTCATTTTGGCCCGTCTAATGATCACTTTTGACCGTCAAATGTTTCTTTTTAATTTTTTTTTGTATTACTGAAACCTTAAATAATCTAATCTAATCTTAAATACTGAATTATTATTTTTGGTATTTTGGCCCTCGTAACAGTTGGACCTGCCTTTGCCAATAACTAATCAGCACGTATCGCTATCAATAGGAATCGAATCATTCCAAATTTAATTTAATTTTAATAAATGATTTTAAGGGCTCGAGATGTGAAGGACATATTTTTCTCAAACTTTTAACTTATTTACGAATCTTTATATTAGCGAAATTGCCAAATTTTGCATTGCATTTGTATAATGTTTTGTTAAGTATATTTCTTGAAATAATGTTATTAAAAAAATGAGCTAATTATATGGTATAGAAATTTTTTCTCACTATCTAAATTTTGCCGCCCCCTAAAATTTGAGGACCTGGGCAGTAGCCCCAACTGCCCCTACTGTAAATCCAGCACTGGTGCACCACTGGTTAACTTTGTTCTCGAATATCTACTGAAATTGTTTGAATCTACTGAGTCTTTTTTACCTTCTTCCGAGCTTGTTCTCGTTTCTTCTCCAGTTTCTCCCTGCTTTGCTGGCGCTTTTCGAAAGCCTTCTCGTCCTTTTTGATTTGCTGGGACGCGCGTTTGGCTTCTTTCATCTCGTGCTTCATGCGCTTTTTAGCAATGCGGTTATCGTCCATGGGCGTTAAGCCCCAGTCTGAGTCCCATTTGATGTTTTTAGCCTTGCAACGCTGACGGACTATACGCAACATATTGGCAGTGTTGTAAGGTCTTTTGCCATCGTCATCCTAGGTTGAAACATAATCAAACTACTAGCTGAAAGTGGCATTTAGCCTTAAGGGGTTACACCACTGTAGCAGCCTAAAAAAACGTATGTTTTTGCCATTTTCTTCGGGCGGAAGGAAATGTAATAAAATCATGATATTAAAGATAGTTATTTATTGTATTTTAAAGTAACAAAATAAAATATAATTGTAAAAAAAAATTAAAAACGATGGTACCACAGCCATTTCAGCGAGCCGCGTCAAATTGGAGGCGCTCCGCGGCACGTAAAATAACTACCAGAATTTTAATTTTTTTCATTCGAATTTTCAATAGTATATTTAAAATAACATTTTTAAGTGCCCATCGTAGCGGATTTGGAAAATATCGATTTTTGTTCCCTTGGCAAGCACTTTATTCAAAATTGTTGAATTTCAACGAAAAAAACGGATAGTAATTTGTTAATAATTAATGAACAAATTAACATATAGAAGATCTCCTATGATGGGCACTTAGAAATGCAGTTTTAAATATAACGTAAAAAATCGAATGAAAATAGTTCAAATTGTTGTAGTTATTTTGCGTGCCGCGTTGTAAAATTGTTTCGAGAAAAACGCCTTTAAGGGGGTATTCTACTGTAGAAGCATGAATTTTGCCCGGTTTTTGAAGCGCTGTATAAAGGAAACAAATAATATTTTTACTATCGATTTTTTTATCATTTGTTTATTGATATTTTATTATTACATAAAAAAAATTATTAAAGAAAACAAATTAGAATTAACAAAGTTATGCGCAGTCAAAGTGAGGGCTCAAAAAAAAAGAGGGTGTACTGGCGTACATGATTCCAACCCTGCTGGTGATCCGAAACATAAAAAATAGATGGATTCTTAATTATTATAGATGCCGCTATCGTATAAACCTTGGATAAGTAGAAAAAAATTTTTTTGTTTGAATGGCGGCAGTTTGAAAAAAAAATTTTTTTTTATGTTTTTTTTAACAATTCCGAATTTTTTAAAAATACTGCCGCCGAATTTTTTAAAAATACATGCGATAAAGCGATGTATAGAGAAGATCCTCTCCAAATTTTGAAGTAAATCGGTTCATTAGAACTCAAGATATCCTTACCGCCAGCTCGAAAAAAGTAAAACGGATATAACTCAGGAAATAATAGTAATTTTGAAAAATCCTTTTAATGATATATTTTTGAATAACTAAACTTTGAAAATATGAAAAAAAAAATTTCGATATTTTCAAAATTCTACAGTAGAATACCCCCTTAAAGTTTTGAAATAAATTGTAGATAAGAAAAAATATTTTTCAGTTTAATACTTTTTACTATTAATCTGATATCCCAGCAACATACAGATGCCTTTTTATTTTTATATTTTTTTTCTTATTTTCTTCCTTTTATGATTTTATATCAGAGCGTCCTACTTTTGGCACATCCGTCAAAGACCGTTCGGCATGCATAAGACGTTTATAATCGACTTTAAGACAAAAATTACATGTTTAGATGCCAATATTAATCTCCAAAACTATTTTCATTTATAAAATATTGCTTAGACCATCGTTGAAATTATCCCCAGCAATATCAGCCGAAATATAGTCAACCCTTATATGTACTCCGCACTGATCATTTATTGGTTAAAAATGCTTTTACAGTTAATTTATGCAATATAAATATTCAATAATAACATATATTGGTATATTTAAGAAGATACACGTTGTCATTTTTCTTTATAATATTTTTTGTTAATGAATTTGAGCGGTGTCGGTTCGGAGCAGCCCGACGCCCATGGGAAACAGCTTATAATTAAGTACAAGTAAACAAATAAAGTTTTAAGTATGGAATATTTTTCCTTATATTCTAAAAGGTTCAAAGTATATTTTAAGCCTAAAAAATTTTTTTGGTTTTTCGAAAAATCTACAGTGGTGTAACCCCATAAGGCAAGTTGCATAAATTTCCCGAAATGTGTAAGAATTGACTTAATCGATCCAAATTGAAATTCAGATATTAAAATAAATTTTAATATCATATTAAATTTTTATTTTACCTTTATGCAGGATAGATATTTTTCTGTCCACATCAAATACTCTGGAGGAATTTCATCAGCTCCTGATGCTAACAAAATAATTGTACTCACAGTAATGGGTAGCATGTCAGTATAACCGACTTCATCATCTGTTTCCTCTGATTCTGTTTCTTTCTGCCGCTGTAAAGAATATCTAGTTTAATTTTTTCAATGAATGGTAAATTTTAGCTTTTCTTTCTATTGTGTTGAAGGATTTTGTTTCATTACTTACAAACATTTCGTCCATGACTGTATGTAATCGGCCCCATGATGTGTCTTGACTTGGCAGAGTGAAGCTTTGATCACTATCGAATCTTTATAAATTTATCATGAATGAAAAATAGACAGTGGATACATTTCAAAATACATATTTCATGACAAAACATAAAATTCAGCAAATGAATTACATTTTTCTATCACTTGATATTAGTTTACCGATAGACGGTCCTGCGCCATAATTTACAGTCGCATGCCCAGGATCAGGCAATATAGTGAAAACCTTAATTAAAAAAATAGAATTTATTATATATAATTTAATCAGAACATTTAATTTAAATTAATATTACATACTTCAGGATTATGCTCTTTTAAAATCTCAATATCGTTTCCTTTCACAGGTGCATTGACCAGCTTTTTTTCCAATTTTTTTGTGGCGCCATTCATTTTTGGGATTTTGGAGATTTCAATTTAGATATTTTTTTTTTTTACATTTTTTATAGAATATGATTGAATATTGAGACCTACTTGATTTAGTGATTTGTCACGTATTTGCACTTTATGTAAGTGCTTTTGTTCTGATGATTTTTTACCCATGTGCTAATAATAAGGAAAAATTAGTGGGGTGTATGGCATCGTGCCTTAAGGCAAATTGCTGGAAGTTCCCGTAACGAAATGTTCGAGGAATACTGAATGTTTTCAAATAGATTATTATAAATACTGTAGCATTGTCCAATATTTATAAGAATTATATACAAACTGAATTGCAAAGTTAAAATTATTTGTTTAGAGTATATTAGAACTTTAGTCAGAATTAAAAATAATACAATTTTTTTTCCAAAATCAATTATTTTGTTAAGACAAGCAGAAAGTTCTTTGAATCATTTAAATCGGACGCGCAGTTCTCTCAAAACCTGCCATTTTTTTTACATATTTAGCTCCGTATCTTCGAAATGCCTGGGCCTGCCTTTGCCAAAAACTGATAACACTTCTACCCATCATTACTAATTGAGTGTTTTTTAGATCATTCAAATCGGATGCTCCGTTCTCTCAAGAACTCGATTTCTATTTTCTGCACTCTTAGCTCTTTATCTCGGTAACTGCTGGACCTGCCTTTGCCAAAAACTAATCAGCTCTTCTCCCTATCAATAGGAATCGAATGTTTTTTAAACCATTCAAATCGGTTGATCCGTGCGCCCTAAAACTTGGACGAAAAATTGTATCCATATATACATAGACACACACACACACATCCATTTTTTCTGAGGTATGCCAAAATGTTCAGAAACCTTCAAAACGTCGAGAAATGTAAAAATTTTCATTTTCGATTTTCGGCTCATTACAATAACTTACCCTACGGGAAGTTAATAAATAAATTTGAATGTTGCCTTAAGGCAAGTTGTGTGAACTATTCCACATGTGTAAATAATTGAATTAATTTAATATATTAATTTATGAGTGATTTATAAGTATGCTTAATTGCTGCAGGGCATTTGCAAATGATACTTTCACAATTGGTTTTAAATTTCAAAATCGATTAAGGACTTTTTGGCAAGAATGTGCACGAAAACTTATGCACTTTTTTCCTAATTCAAAGAAACGGCTCAGCCAATCGTGTCAAAAACCTAACTACCGCGTGTACTTATTCAGTTTCATTGAATGATATTTTAAATTTTTGAAATCGGTGCAGCCGTCGGCGAAAAATAAAAAATCGGCTCGGAATATGTTCAGAAGTCCAGAAAACATAAAATGAGCAAAAATAAAAACATACGAGATGTTTAACATTTTATCTTCAAAATATATTTCAACAAGATATTGTATTCACATACAATGTAAATATGTATAAACATCTTTAAACAGTAAAGTAACTGTTTCATCTATACAAATTTATAGTATCTTTAAATTTAATAAAAGAAATGTGTATATACAGTAGAACATTTTACATAAGAATATAACTTCCAGATAATAATCACATTGAAAAGGCACTTTGCACTTGCAAACTTTTACAAATTTCAAATGGAATAATAGGTTTTAATGTCAGAATCTCATTATTCTAAAATATTTCATTGTCATCTGCAATTTCTGCGATTTGATTTTGATTTCATTTGAAGTTTCTCTATAGCCTCTAATCGTTTGCGCTCAATTTCTTTTCTTATCCTCGCTGCTTCTTTGCGTTTTAATGCCTCTTGACGTTTCTTTTCGATTTCGTCCGGGGTACATTGGATAGTAGGTGAACTTGATTGATCTGAAAGCAAATATTTATTTACTTATTTATTTAAATATATAGCCCACAGATTTCTTCCAAGAGGACTCAAAAATACAATTATTTTACATAATGAATAACAATTAAAATATATACAAAATTACAATATATAGTTATTAACATAAAATACTTAACATAAAATTACATATAATGCAGAATGTAACAATATTATTTATAAACAGAATAAGATAAAATACTAAAAGATATTTGAAAAGAAAATAAAAAGGTTAACTTGTGCAGATGGAGATTATTTGATTAGGTGAAGTGTTGTGAATATCTATTTCATTATTAATTAAGTTAAAGTTAGAGGACATAAGTAAAATAGGCGAATATAAGAGAGAATTAGATTTAGGAGTAGGATAATTGAAAAATAATTGTGAACGCGTAGATAGTCTTGGAACATTAAAGGATAGTCGATTAAGAATAAGAGGACAGTCTATAGAATTATTGCAAAGTTTAAATAAGAACATAATTGTACAGATAAATCGACGTGAGGCAAGGAAAGGAATACCAAATTCTTTTAGTAAAGTGTTGTGGTCAAAGCCACGTTCAGGGTAAATTTTATATGCTTTATAATAAAGGTATTGCAGAAATTTTCGCTGAACCTTCTCTTTCGCATCAGAGTTGTTGATTTGATGAGGATACCAAATAATCGAACCGCATTCTAATTTTGAACGTACAATAGAATAGTACATGCAAAGAAGTGCATTGGTAGACTTGAATTGTTTACAATTTCCCAATATCAAACCTAAAGATTTATGTGCTCCATTACAAATATCAGTTATATGGTCAGTGAAAAACAAACCAGAATCAAATAAAACACCTAAATCAGAAATTTTATTACATCTATCGAGGCTGGTGTTAGAAATTTTATAATCAAAAAGTATTGGAACGCGCTTATGTGTAAAACTGAGAATCTTGCACTTTGATATATTTAAATGTAATTTGTTATAGACACACCAAGAGTGGAAAGAGTCAAGTTGAGACTGTAATAATAAGCAGTCATCAATAGAATTTATTTTGAGATATAGTTTCAGATCATCTGCAAATAATAAATGTGGACAGCTAATAATTTCAGATATGTCATTAATAAAAATAATAAATAGTAGTGGACCAAGAATGGATCCCTGAGGAACACCTAAACTGATATTTTCAATGTTGCTCAAGAATCCATTAAGATAGACAAACTGTTTACGATTATGAAGATAACTCTTAAAAAAGTGAATAAGTGAAGAATTAAGACCAATCTTAGATAATTTAGTAAGAAGAATGTTATGATCAATTTTGTCAAAAGCTTTACTGAAATCAGTGTAAATAACGTCAACTTGTCCATTAATGTCAAGATTCTCAGCTATATATTGTTTAATACAGATTAAATTTGTTATCGTAGAACGGGCAGGAATGAAACCATGTTGATTAATAGAAATTAAAGTTCTAACAGAAGGAATTAGTTAATTTTTTCAAATACCTTAGCAAAGTTTGATAATAATGATATCGGCCTGTAATTAGTAATGTTTGAATTATGAATATGAATTATGAATTATTTTGATTATAAGTGTTACTTACAACCCAGACTTTCCGTGCTTCCTTCATTTTTGTCACCAAAACCAGACTTGTGATTCTTATCATTACCATAAGGCATACTATTGTGTCTGGCGATAGGATTGCCAAGCTGATATTTGCTACCTATAATTCGAGGAGATACAGGCATAGAGCTGTGTCTGCTAAAACTAGATTTGAAGTCATTTTTGTGTGGTTTGATATTGAAGTTCGATTCTTTGTTTTGATCAACTGAATTTTTATGAGATGTTTTTGCAACAGATGACTCAATTTGTGTTATAATTTCATTGTTTTGCTTAGTGTGCATGCCACTGAAACCAGCTGTTGTCACAAAAGCTTCATCACTTAACGTTGATAATATAGCATCAAATGAGTCATCATTTATATATTCTTCTCTCTCAATTAAATCTTTTTTTGGAGTACTTATAGCCACAATCTTGGGACTATTAACAGCCCTTTTAGGAGTATGTAAGCTTCGTGTGTTTACTATCTTCTTATTGTTAATGAATGTTACTTCTGGCTCCATTTGATCAAATAGTACTTCTTCCATAAACAAGTCTGGCGATTCACTTCTTGGTTTCAAATTTTGGGTATTACTCTCATGCAATTTCAAATGTGTTAAATCTTTATTTATCCCTTTACTTATGGCATTTTCAGCAACTTGACTACATTGGATCAATAAATCAGTGAATGAATCATCTTTCAGAAATTCAGAAACGTCTGGTGAATTATGTGCAGGTAACTGCTTTGATTTTTCATCAATTATAACTGTATCATTATCGTCTTCTTTGATTTTATTATCACAATTGTTACTTTCAACGTCTTCATGCTTCTGCTGTGGTGGCGGATCAATATTATTAGTTTTATTGGAGTTAAATCTTCGTTGAATATCTGCTAACTGGGCTTGCAGGTTATCAATAACTAAAACAAAGCAGAACATTACAGGCTGCAGAATTGTTTACAATTTGATTTCATTTATTAGAATGCTTACAATTTGTGTTTAAAGGTTTTCTAAATTGCTTCTTTGTCGGCAAATTTACCAATGGTGAAATACTTTTTAGCTTGAATTTGCCAGACTTGCGCTCTTTAGCCTTTGGTGTATTGTTTAAAACATGAAGATTGCTTCTGTTGGGACTACGCCAGTCCCAAATGACCTCACAGCCTCTACCTCCTTCTTGTGTACTGAGTAAAATGGGTGACGATTCCTAAAATAAATTTAAAAGTATAATTCACCTTTATAACAGATGGTATGAGATAAATAGAAAGTTTTTTTTAACAAACCTGGGAATCATAAATGTCATCATAATCATCTGACTTACGGGAATAAACATTTTTAGAATATTTCGTTTGGGGTGGTGTGCATAGCAAAGCTTGGTTCCTCATCTCTTGGCCTACAAGAAATACTTTATTGAATAGGAAAAGACGAAAAGTCCACAGATATAAAATTGAAAAAATATATAAAGCCAGTAAAAATTATACATGAGTTTGTTTTCTGAAATCGTACCTTTTAATTTAACATCTTTTGTTTGTTTCCCCGAACTTCGATTGGAACGTCTAGTATCCATTTGATATCTATATTAGAAATAATATTTAATAATATTTTTTTTACTATATACAAAAGTTTAACTATATTTTTTTGTAGTTTATAAATTGTTCAATCAGTTTTCAGAAATATGTTGCAAACAAATTGACATTTTACACAACTGTCATGTCAACCATGACATGATACCAACATAACCGAATTATATTAATATTTGAGGTTATGTTAATGATTTTGACATTCAGTCAAAAGTAACGTAAAATTTTTAGTTCAAATAAAAGCATAAATTAAAGTATATCGATGATATTCAATAATATAGAGTGATTTTATAAAAGTGGCAAGTTGTTTTTATAAAAATTCTAATGGATCCTCCCGAATCTACATTGGAAGCATCTGCTAATAACTATTCAGGTACCAATTTTAATCATCTGTATAAAACGAGAGGTTATAAAGAAGAATCACAAGCAAATCGCCGCCGAAAGCTATTAGAGCATCAAAAAAGGTGATTTATTAAGTATTCCTACATATACTACTGTATAAAGCCTATAGTGGAAATTCATAAATATTGTTTTTTCTTTGTTTCATATTTTCAAAGCTTAACTATTCAAAAATTCATGCCTCTACACTAGAATTACTACACCCCCATAAGTCATTGCTTTTATGTGCTTGAAAAATATATTGTATATTGTACAATATGCTATGAAACATTATTTAGTTAAATTTTATAAATATTTGCAAGAATAATAATATATCCTATACCTTAGTGATTTAATAATAATAATTTGCAGAAATCGTAGCAATGCTCACGATAGTTCAAGATTATCTTTATTGGCCCAATGTGAAGAGGAAGAGTCCCCAAAATCCAAACCAAAGGTTCATTTAGTTTTTTTATTAAATTATTTGAAATATTGTCGAAAACTTAGAGTTAATTTAATCTAGAATTCTTTTTTGGATTGCTGAAACCTTTTCTATTAGTATTTCATATTGCTAATTCTTTTATCCATTAATTTCAGAATAAACATGCATTAAATAATTATAATACAGTAAAATTATACTCAAATCAGTTAATGTTTTCTGAATGGATGGAAGAATTACCTGAAAATTTTGAAGATGATTGGTTCATGGTACCTTGCCCTATGGGCATAAGAGTGCTTTTGGTTGCAAGCCGGGTACAGTTTATTATATCTTAAAATATTTAATATAAAATTATAGTTATTTCTATTATTTATTATCTAGGGTAGAACAAAAGCATTTACCAAGCGTGGTCGATGCATATTTGATTTCCAGTCTGCTTTGCCTGGTGGATCTCGTTCTAAGCAATCTGATATACATGGTTATACAATTTTAGATTGTATTTTCTCTGAGTTAACAGAAACGTTCTATATATTAGATTTGCTTGCTTGGGGGAAACAGCCATTTGTCAACTGTGAGGTAAATTTATTTCACAGATGTTATAAATTTATCATAGCTTATATAATACTTATATTTCTTGCAGACAGAATTCAGGTTTTTCTGGCTGCAAGGACAGTTGTCAGAAAGAGTAGAGTTATCCGAAAAAAATGATAAATCGAATTTATACCCATTTTCTCTTTTATCTCACCATGAATGCAGTATTGAAACTATTTCAAATGTATTAAATAACTGGCCATTTTTTAATAATAATACTCCAAGGTTGATGGGTAACTATTTTATCACAAACACTTCATATACCGCTGGATATACTCCTACAGTTTGGTGGCTTTTTCATTTATGGTTCCAGAAATTATTAGCAGGAGTAGGTTTCATACGAATTTAGGAAGAC